GGCTGGGCTTTTGGGTGCTGCCCGGTGGTGGGAGGGGGGGTACTGGAAAAGCAGCCCCCCCCCCTCCTGCTGCCTCCTCTGCACCAGACGGGGCTGAACCAGGATCCGGCCCTGCTGGGTCTGAAAGCTCCCACTGACGTGGCTCGTAGGTGGGGGGGGGCACATGCAAATGCAGAAAATCCCCTGGCTGGGCAAAAAAAAACCCAATTCCTGCCCGTTTCTGGCTCAGTGGCCCCAATCTGGTGTTGGGGGCTCAGATAATATTTCATGTTATTTCTTGCGCCAGGAGCCTGGGCTTCTTTTGTCCCCAAGCTGTCCCTTTCTTCTCCGGGGTGTCAGGAGCTTGGGGGGGCCCAGTGTGGAGCCGAGTCCATGAGGAGCCCTTGGGAGCCAAGTTGGGAGCACTGGGCAGAGACAGGGACCTTCCCCACCAGAAACACATCCTTGAAATGGGGAGGCTTTGGGGGGAGAGGGGCTTTCTGGAGCAGCACGGACGCCCTGGGGTTATCAGGGTGGCCACGGGTGGGTGCTGGGGACCCCCCCAGCCAAGCTCCCTAGGATTGTCGGAGGCTGCGGGGCGTGGGGGTGTGTGACTCATTTGGGCTGAGATGACAAATATTTGGTTGTCGGTTTCGGCGGGGGGGAGGGGTGTTGCTGCACTCCTGTAATGAGCCTGTCAGGCCTCAGCCCTCCCACCCAGCTCGCAGGGGAAGGGTGAGCAGCCAGGCCGGCTGCCCGGTTGCCTGGGGTCCCATCCCGTCCCCCCGGGCAAGGGGCGCTGGCCTCCGGTGGGCTCCCGTCCCCTCCCCGGGCTGAGCCCAGGGGTTGGGCCCCGCTGCCCCCACCCACCCTGGCACCTCTCGGGGTGCCAGGGCCGGGTGTCGGGGTGCACCCTTGGGTTCTGGCCCACCCGGCAAAGCTCTGCCCAGCAACAAGGGCCGCTAATAGCATATGGGGAAGTCACGTGGGCCTCTTCCAGGAACCCAGGCGTCTGGTGCGGCCCATCCCCCTCCCGGGCCCTGGGGTGTCCCGGGGTGGCAGCGGACACCCCCCCGCCTCCCCCAGCTCACAAGCCTGGCCCTGGGCAGGAGGCTGCCCCGATGAAGGCCTCCCTCCTCCTCCTCCTTGCCTGGATGCCTCAGTTCCCCCCCGGCATGGGAGTTATGAGGGGTGTAGGGTGTGTGTATTGAGGTATGGGGGCGTAAGCAGTGCGAGTGTGGGGTACAGGGGTGCTTGTGTGGCTTTAGGGAGCCCAGGAGAGGGGGGTTATAAGGCGTACGGGGTGGGGATAGGGCAGAGGGGGTGCACAGGTTGTGGGTGAGGCTCTGCCGTTATAGGGTTTATAAGGCGGGGGGGCATCGGGGTGAGTGGGGCACTTTGGCGTGGATGCGCGCTGATCGGGGCGGGGAGGCAAGGTGTGAGTGCCCGTGTGTGGGGCCAGCCCAGCCGCAGGGCGTGGGGTGCAGCGGGGCTGGCGTGGGCCCTGCGTGGCGCCAGCGTGGGGCTGTGGCCACGGACCTGCCCGGGCAGGAGCCAGCAGTGACTCAGGCAGGAATGTGCTGGCAGGACACCGTGTTCCAGCAGCACCCAGCCCCACGGCCAGCACCCAGTCCCCAGCCCTGGATCTGGCGTGCTGCTAACAGCCCCGTGGCCAGCGCCTCCGAATAGCCCTGTTCCCACTTGGCTCAGCCCCAGTCCCACACCCCACCGTGCCCCGTGCACGCCAGCACTGATGCACGCGTCCTGTGGGGTGCCCGGGAGCGGTGCAGGGTTCCCTGCAGGACACTGGGGTGCCCCTGAGCAGGACAGCGCCTGCAGGGACGCTGGGGACAGGCTGCTGGAGCAGCACAGCCCCTGATGGGGGCATGCGTGACGCACGGCCCGTCCCCCCACGTCCCCGTGGGAAGCAGGTGGGACACCAAATTAATTTGCCCCACGTGGCTGCTGTCCCTCCGGAGGCATCCTGAGGGCCAGCGGTGGCCACAGGGTCCCGGGGAGCTATGGGCCGGGGGTGGCAGGGGTTGGTTGTGGGTGCAGGCGGCGCAGCGGACGCAGAGCTGGGCCTGGACCACCGCTGCACAGCTGGGGTGTGCGTCCCTGCAACTCTCGTCTGCTGGTGGGGGGAAACTGAGGGATGGGGGACCCCGGCCTCCCTCCTGCCCCAGCCCCTTACCGAGCTCTGGGGCGCAGGGGTGGGTGTTGCAGGAGTGCTGGGTGCTGGGCTTGAGGTGGGGGGCAGAGAGGGTGCTGAGGGTCTTCTTGGG